CTCTAGATATTTTTAGTAGTAATTTACTATCGGTAAAACAAATCAAGTTTTGTGGAGAAGTGAACTTTTTTTTTTTTTTTTTTAATTTATTTTAAGTTACCTTTTAAACACATTAAATTTAAATGAAATACGTACTTTAACTTAACCAATATATGCTAAATTATATTTGCAAAATGCATTGATTCACTAATTAAATGAATTTGAAAACAGATTTGTTTAAGAGGTGGTTCGTTTCTTTCACCTGTCTTTTTTATTGTTGTTATTGTTGTAGCTGTTGCTGTTGTTGTTATTATTGTTGTTGTTGTGGTTTTTTTCTTTTCTTTGTTTCCAATTACGAAGTTGGGTTCAATAGTGGTAGAGGGCAACTTTTATTAAGCAAAACGCTCAAAAAGAACATTTACTTTTTTCATGAGAATAAGCGAGTTAGCCAGCTGATATATATAAAATATTCATTTGTTGTTAACAATCTATCAAATAGTTGAATAAATGTTTATTTAACAAAAATAATTTAACAATTTAAAGAAATTATTTTTGTTTTATTTTATCATTATATTTTATTGCTAATCTAACACTTTAATCTAACATGCGCTCAGAAAAGAACTATTTTCAATTTTTGAAACTTGTAACTTTAGACATTTTTTCCCTTAGCATATATATGAATTTCAGCGTTACCGCCACAGTTTTTATAAAGAGTCCAAAATCAACTTTTTTTCAAGAATGCATAAGCGTTTGCATCCAGGACGGATATTTTGAGAGCTCAACTCTAAATATTTTTGAAAAAGAAAGATACGAAAATGAAAGTCTTCTTTTATTTACGTCATATAACTATACTATATCTCAAGAAGTTGTACTGGACTTGATTATTGGAAAAGCCTATGGAAGATATTTAAGTGAGGATTCATATATATACGGAACACTGCAAATATTAACGGATGTTGATAAAGAAACAACGTCTTTACTCTCAGATATTGTCGCTCCATACAACGATGTCTTTTTGTTTGATTTTAACGAAAACAACTTTGGAATGAATTACAAACTAAATTTAATACGTACATATTTTATTCCAATGGAAGAAGATATCTTATTTATTGTTTATTGGTTAAATGTAAAAAAGTTTATTTTTTTGATTATTACCACAGAGGAAAGCGAACAATTTAATTATTTATCAATAACAAAGCGTTTTACTGACCTTTGCTATGTAGATTACTCTGTTTATTACCAAAACACCTCGCAAATGGCTATAATTGCAAAAGAGTTATTTCCTTATGTTAAACATCTTTTCATTTTAAGTAATTCTATTGACGGTTTAAACGCATTTTTAAAAATGTGCAAATTAAACGGGGTTGAAATTGAAACGATTATTTTAGAAGGCAATTTATCTTTGAATATATACGCTGATATAATAAAACATAGGTATAATAATATTATTTTTAAAAAAAATACCAAAATAATGCGCATATTTGACTTTTGTCCTTCGTATTTCTACGACGATTATACAATGCTCGAGCCGTTGTATATAAATAAATCTCTGCAAATAAATTTATTTGAATTGAATAAAGAATCGCCAATATACAATGATATTTACAAAAAATATTTTAACAACAAAAATGTAGATTTTGTTGTGTCATCGGAATGTAATGTAACGTGCCCGCCTGGTTTCGAACAAAAAATTAAAAATTCTCTAGAGAAAGACAAAAACAAGCGTTTTAAATCTTGCGACCCTTGCAAAGAAAACTATTTCAAAGAAGGTAACAATACAAATGAATGCAGAATTTGTCCGTCAGGATTTATTTCAAATGCTGATAAAAAGTATTGCAAGGATTCTTTTAATACGAAAGTCTTAACATTTAAGAGTACTGAGGGTTTAATAATAACAGTGTTTTCTGCTGTTAATATTTTTTCTGGATTTATTATAATGTCTACATTGATCTTTAAAAGAAAGACTCCCGTTGTTAAGTCAGCTAACTTTACATTGTCTATGACGCAAATACTTTTTCATTTGTTGATTTCATTTTTTCTTCCAATTTTATACATCATTAAACCGGTGATTAAAATTTGTTACATTCGACATTTGGTTGTTGGTTTCTTGCTTACAGCTTCTGCAGCAATTATTTACATAAAAACGGTAAAATATACTAATATTTTCCAGAGAGTGTATCACATGTCTAAGAAGGGAAAAATCATTGCAACTTCTATTGATTGGATGAGGTTCATACTTGTTTTAGTTGTTCAAAGTTTGTTGGGAACAATTTTGATGATTAAGTCACCTCCAGTTGTTTTATCGCACTTAAATGATGAAAAAAAAATTAGGTTGTTTGAATGCTCATCAGACTCTCAATTCGGAGCTCAAGTTATTTATATTGGTTGTGTGTTGTTCGTATGCGCCATTCAAAGTTTTCATACTCGTAATCTTCCTTCTTATTTTAGCGAAACACAATCTATAACATACAGCTCTGGAATATCTTCGATTTTGTTAATCTGTTTTTTTCCTCTTTACTATGGTAATGAAGATATAAATTTGAGGACTGTTGCAACTGCTTTTCTAATATTATTAATCAATATAACTCTAATGATAATAATGTTTGCACCAAAACTATATTTGATTTATTTTAAACCGGAAAACAACACCAAAAACAATTTTCGAATTGAAATGATTGATTACTCAAAATCTCTCTTTGTAATTTCTTAGTAATTTATTTTAATTATTAATTTTATTGAATAATTATTAATTATAGAATATTGATTTTTTGAATAACTTTTTTTTAGTTAGTTATTAAGATACTCCAAGAATACCTAATGTAATATAATGTAATATAATGGTCTTATAACAGAACACCCTGGAAGAGCATTTAACTTGGAAAATAAAATTAAGTACACAATTTATAAACTTAATATATATATATATATATATATATATATATATATATATATATATATATATATATATATATATATATATATATATAAGGCCGGCGCGACGGGGGGATAAAAATCATTATTTAATTAAAAAAAAAAACTACTGAAACTTGAAGTTTGATTAAAATCGGCATTAATTCAGTTATATTATTTTAGTTTTTTTAATCCGTGAGAATGAATTAAAAGTTTGACATGTTTAATGTTGCTTTACTTGATTATAGGTTTATAATATGCTTTTTTAAGTTTCCAGACTTCTTTATGAAACTTAGTGTCGTTTTTATACTTGAAAAAATTAAGAGATTTTATTGAGTTTACATAAGTAAGCTTGAACGAGATCGGATAAAATATTTTCTTAGTTCGAATGGTATCATTATATAAAATACTGCATAACAAAAGTGTTTTCAATTATACACGTAACTTTTTAGCCAAGTTAAGATTTTTCCAGCAGGGGGGTGGAGTCGTAAAAAAGTAACGACTCCGACTCCAATTGTTTAAATTTTTTGAGTACAACTCTGACTCCGACTCCAGTTGTTGAAATTTTTTGAGTACAACTCCGACTCCGATTCCAACTCCAACTCCGACTCCTACTACAACTCCAAAGCAAAATTTTTTAAAAATTCTTTGAATTCTTTAAAAAATATTTCGCTATAAAATAAAATAAATTTTTTTGACAAATTTCTGAAACGTTCTTTGAGGTTTAGTATGAACATAAGGTTAATTGAATGTTTTGTACATGCACGTGCAATACCGAGAAGTTTTACTATTGGAGTCGGAGTCGCGATTTTGTTTAGCGACTCCGACTCCGACTCCGCTAAAAATGTTGCAACTCCGCAACTCCGACTCCGACTCTACATCCCTGATTTCCAGTTATTCTGTGTCAATCTAACTTTTTAAAAAGAATTTTGTAGTCAATAGTATCAAAAACATATGATGTTGCAAACAAAAAATACCTTATCTTAAAACTAAATAATAATTTTTTTAACGCAAAAAAAATGTTATATATAGATGGAATTAAGGGGAGCTTGACGCAATGTAAAACTTGATAAATGTTTCAGTATGTTTTAACATATGTTTTAACTAGGGCTGCTAGTTCAAACTTGATCAAGTTCGAATGTTCGAACTTTACGCAAAAATTTCAACGTTCAAGTTTTTTTTTTTTTTTTTTTTTTTTGTTCTCTTATCTTTATAATGTTGTGATTCTACATGATTGGTACAAAGTTATAATGTTTTTAAAATATATAATACTAAAAATATATTACATATTTATAGAATACAAAAAATATGATTGTAGGGTATCATTAATATTAAAAGAACGCGGGAAACTTCCAGAAGACCAGATGGTCTTGTCATCAAGAAACCGCTTGTACTTGTAATATTTTTTGTATTTTCGTTTTACACTGTATCTAGTTTCACAAAATACTTCATTTTATATTAGGTTCACAATAAAATGTAAAAATAAAAAAGTTGATAAATACTGTTTGTAGTACACATAATACACATAAATATATTAATTATTATAAATATAATTATTTCAATTATAAATATAATTATTATTGACTATTGTTATTGACTATTATTATTTAGTTATTATTGACTATTATTGACATAAATATAATTATTATTGACTTATATTGATTTTTTATATTAATATATATTATTTAGGTTTTTTTGGATTTTGTTTTCAATTATAATTTTGGTTTTAGTTTCAGTTTTAGTTTAGTCTAAGTTCAAATAATTGCTGATATTTAAAACGAACTTTTTTAATAGAGAACCTCCAATATCGTATGATTGTTTACATTATATGATTAAAACAATTTTAAATAATGAAATTAAATATAGAATTTGTATAGAAATTACAATAAAAAAGTGAACATGTTAATAAAAAATTTTTTATTATTCCTTTTATATAATAAGATAAAGTTATAAAACTAATAGTAAAATTTTTGTTAAAAAATTTAAATTTTTTAGGCTTCAACAATTAATGTCCTCGATGTCTGAAAAAGTGTTATTCTCTAATAAAACCCCGTCAAATAAGTAATTAATACATATATACTTTTACTTTTAATAAAAAATCAAAAAAACGCCAAACTGAGTTTAACACAAAAATGTTGCAGCAAATGTTAGAGTGAAAGGAAGACGATGGAATTTTAGAAAAATACAGCTTTCCTGTTGACAATTTAGTAGAATTGTATGAAATTGAAAAACTCCTTGCAGCTGATAAGGCAGCATTTAACAAACTTGTAAGCATTTATATACATTACAGTTTTCCAAAATTATAAATGTTATATAATATTTTATGCCCTTAATTTGAGTTTGATTTTTTTAAATGATTTAATTTGGAACCTTTTTTCTGTATATATATTACTGATGATTCTGTAATATATATACATTATATTGATTGATTCTGTATATATATTACTGATGATTAACTTGCCTTTTCTAATTTATTTTTTTTTTGTAGATAATAGCAGTGGCTAGCAAAGGAGGCCAGACTTTAAAGGAGGCTGGGCGGAGAATGACTTTTGCATTATTCACTAATAATCTCTGCTGTAAACTGAACTGGACTGGTATTACCAGAAAAGATAATGAAAGCATCTTTGTAAAACAAAGTCTAAAAGACTTACAATGTCGACATGTGCTTGAAAGTAATTTTTTTTTTGAGGAGGGAGGTGCTAATTATTCCAAATTATTAGTTACTTGTCTCTAATCTATTTATTATTAAATAGTGTAGCTTTAAAAAAGTTCTAAATATGTTTCTGATATGACATTGCAAAATATATATATTGTTTTCCTTAAACTTAAGTTAAAATTAATTTTTAGGAGCTGTCAAAAGAAATCCTGCAACATCTTCAGCCACTGAATCGGATTTTCAACATGAGATTGTGCGTTTTTTGCGCGGTGCATCAGACCGTAAGGGTGGACGAAAAATTCGACTAGACCAAAAAAACGAATAGGCCAAGAAAAAACTCTTTCCATCATCAAATTCATCTATGGCATTAAATAAAGAGCTATTTTCTAGTTCAGAAGGTGAATAACATTTTTAAATAAAAGAAACATCTTTATTTCAAATTCATTATTTGGTATATTTGTTGCAGTATAAAAATAAGATTGTACATGAGAAATTCATCATCATATTGAATGTTACTTGTGAATAAAATAAGATCCATTTTAATATTTTAATGTTATTTTTTTTAATTTTATTATTGAAAGAAATCCAAAATATAATTTCTGGAGTCTGTCTACTGTTTGATTTATGTTAATGTTCATTTATGTTTGATTACTGTTTGATTATATTCAATTTAATTTAAACTTTAAAAAATTAATGAAGGAAATCTTGGTACTCAACCGCTGTAGCAAATAAAAAAAATCTAGCAAAATTAGTAGTCAAGGTTGCCTTTCTTATTTTACCATTCTTATTTCTTTCTTGTTTTTCTTATTTTTCCATTATTTTAAAGCACTGCTTTAAAAATTCAGTTCAAACAATTTAATGTTACACTTATGATTTACTATTTTTTCTTTAAAGGTTTGGACACCTTGTACTTTCACCTTGCCATAGGGTTATGTTGACCATAGACCGATTATTGCCATGGCCATAGAATATTTTTTTTGACTTGAAAATCTATAGTATATTTTTTTAAACATATTTTTTGATCTATACTTACAAATAATTTATTAAAAAAAAAAAATTATATTTACTTATCCATTTTATTTCAGTCACTCATTTGATTTTTTAAATATTTTTTTAATGGCATTTTCATCGTTTATTACATTTTGCTATGTTTTTGTTTGTATGGTGAAAACTATGTTCAAATTAAGTAATGTTTTTAATTTTTTTATGTGTTAAATTATGTTTCAATATTAAAATTAAATTTATCTTTATTCAATGAAGATAAACTTAGCATGTGGAATTACTTATCAATACTTGATGATCACACCATTTTAAACCAAAATGTCTATAAAGACTGAGAAAGTTAGTTTATTATGGTCGTTGTAATAGCTCAACGCACGAGTATAGCAAAAACTGGACTGTTTCAATATTTTGATTATATAATATTGTCTGCTTAATGGTGAAAGTTAAGTCTGCAAACTGCAATATAAATCGATTTTCAACACGTTATGGCTTCTCGAATTTATTTTGTTTCCGATCGAAGTGAGAATAAACTGTTATAAAAATATAAACTTATAAAGTGTTTAAAATTAACTACATATATTAGAAATATTTTAAAGTAGGTTCGCTAAACGCAAGTTTATATTATGTACCTTTTAAATTACGTTTTGGACAAAATAAATTTATTTTGACTTTGATATTCTTTTTTAGTTGTAATTATAAATTGTTATCTTAAAATATTTTTTATTATTGCTTCTGATTGTTCTTTTTGTTCATATCAGCTCACCAAACTTAAGCGTTACAACGTATGACTAATAATTTGCAGTTGTGGTAGTATTTCTTGGTGCGAGCAATATTACTTAATTCGTGTTGATTTATTAAGTATTTAATGGCTATACCTGTGTGCAAAGTTAAAAGGTGTTTGATGTGCCATTCTTTTGGGCGTAAAAATTGATTTGCTAACGATAAGTGCGGTTCCATTCAAGCGAAAATACAAGATTAATGATATATATATAACAATGCAATAAAATTTTAGTCGAAACTTTTAAAAGGTCCTATGTTATTCCCCTATCGCTCCATCATCGGTTTGCCGCTGTCGATCCGCCTGCAACTTGCTGCTAAAGGACCGATGTAAATACGATGTGCAAAACAACGCGGCAACGCAGCGGGCAGCCGACGTCGGCACGGCATCAGTGCTGTCAGAGGTCCGTTGTCGGCCCAACTACTTAATGTTTGCTGGGTAGTGTAATATCTATTTTTATTGCTTTTAAAAAATTCATTTAAGAAATGTGGTGGGACAAGCCCGAGTTTAAATTTTAGCATGAAGAGTAAGTTTTGGTAAATGTTAATTCTATAGAATTAACATATATATATCCTAAATGCACTAAACGTCTATATATAGACGTTTAGTGCATTTAGGAGTTTAAACAAAGGTTCAGCATGAGTGAGTTTATCTTTTTTATAGACAATTCTATGTATAAATAAAAAATAAAGATTTTTTAGATTTTCTTAGGACAACATTGGTCTAGCTTTGTATAGCACGCCAATGTTTTTGGTTATTTTAGTATTTAAATAGTCAATATGGGCTTTCCATGAAATATTTTGATCAACAAGTAAACCTATGAATTTAGTTGTTGTGGTTCTTTCGATATTTTTGTTTTTTATTCTTAGCAATGGCAATATATTTTGTTGTTTTTTTCTTTTTTGATTTGGATGGAATAAGATGTAATTAGTTTTTTCTGTAATAAAGATAGTTTATTAGATTTTAGCCAAATATTAAATTTTTCGAGTTCAATATTCGTTGTTTCAAAAAGTTCTGTAATTGACGGGGATGAATAAAATAAATTAGTGTCATCTGCAAACATTATGACATCAAGTTTGTTTGAGGCTTTCGGAAGATCATTAGTGTATATTAAAAACAGTAAAGGAGCTAGAATGGAACCTTGGGGAACGCCACATTTGATCTTTAGCATTTTTGAACAGATATTTTCATCAGTATTTACACATTGTTGTCTGTTTAGCAAAAAGTTTTTAAACCAGAGTAATGCAACATTTTTTACGCCATATTTTTCCATTTTTTTGAGCAGGATTTCATGATCAACAGTATCGAATGCTTATGATAGATCTATAAAGATTCCTACAACAAATTCATTATTATCAAATGAGTAGTTGATGCTATTTACAAGATCTATGATTGCATGTTCGGTTGCATGTTTTTTTTGAAATCCAAACTGTTTTTTATTTAAAATGTTTTTGTTTGTTAAATATATGTACAGTTTATTATAAATTATTCGTTCGAGAAGTTTTGAGAATACAGGAAGGATTGAGGTTGGTCTATAGTTGTTTAGTAAATATGGTTCTCCAGTTTTATATATAGGTACAATTTTTGCAATTTTTAATTTCTCTGGAACGGTTTCTGTTATAATTGAAGATTTAAATATTTCGAAGAGAGGTTTTTTTATTATCGGAAAGATATTTATTACTACATTGCTACAAATTTCATCAATTCCTGGTGCTTTGTTAATTTTTAAAGAGTTATTTGCATTTTCAAGTTCTTCATAGCTTAATCCATTGAAAATTAGTTCGCTATTTAGATCTGTAAGGTAATTTTCAAAGGAGTCATTTGTAGTTAAAATTTTAGACGCCATGTTTGGGCCTATATTTGCAAAGAAATTATTGAAGTATTCGGCAATTGAGTTCTTATCATCGTGTTCGGTTTCATTTATAATAATTCTATCTGGTAAACTATTTTTTTTTTGTTTTTTTTCCCGATTAGTTCGAAATTTTTGATATACCTTTTTATTAATTTTTTTAAAAACAGCTGAAATATAAGTAAAAATCATAAACTTGAATATTTTTGATTTTTTTTTGTTTTATGTTTGCCTGGCAACTCTAAAAATATAATCAAAATTACATCACCTGTTGCGCCATCGCATTTAAGGTAGTATCGGGTTATTCCTATTAAAAAGTAGTTAAACAGTGGTTGTTAATTTTTCACCATTTGACCACTGTTTATTTACGTTTGAAATTAAAACTATAAAGGGTTTAAAGTTCAAACAAAAAATGGTTAGTATGCGTTAGCACATCTACAAGATCTGAAGTTTAGGATTATTTTTATTTGTTTTCAAAAACTACAATCAGCAAAATGTGCCTCAACACGCACTATTACAAGACACTTAAAAATAAACACAAATAAGGCGTTTTCTAATGCATTAACATCAATAAAAATTAAATTAATAAAATAATAATTTAGTATATAAGAAGGGTATATTTGTTTAACCCAGTTGTTTTAAATCAAGATAATCAGTTTGAAAACAAAAATAAAATAACAGATAATTTTGCAAACTAATCTTATTCGAAGATTATTCCAGTTCAGTGAGGTAGACTCGATGTTAATAGAAAAGCCAAAAATAGTAACGATATTAGAAATTATAAAAAAGAATTGACTATAGCTAAAGAACCGAAAATGTTTTATTAAAACATGATTTTCAAATGGTATGATCTCGTGTAAGGGCTCTCTGGCCTTGCTAAATGTTTTCACATACAAAAAGAAACTGGTTGCAGGATGATACCTTGTATTTACTTTTTAAAAACAAATAAAATGTCTCTATAAATAAATTAACAGTTTTGTACTTAACTTGTACTCTTTTGTTTTCAATTTTAAATAAAAACTATTTGAAAAAGTTCGAACTTATTTCCTAAATAGTTTGAAAGTGTTCGAGTTCAAACTTTTTAAAGAAATTTCAAATTGGTACCCTAATTTTAAGATTAGTTAATTTAAAGTTTATGTTAAAGTTTATAATTTGAAATTTAAGTACGTTAGATATTTGCATACACTTTCGTTCACGTTTTTTTATAAAACAAAGCTGCTGCAACTCTTTCTCGCCATTACCTCGGTTGCAATGGCTGCCATTGATACCATGTCAAACAGGCTCGAAAGCGCAATATTATTAAGTTCAGTATTATTATATAGATGTCGTTGATAAATAGTAACTTTAGCAATCGTTGTCATTAAATTATTACCAATATTATCTTCTTAATGCTTTGCCTATTTTTGTTGTTGTAGTTTATTTGTAAATGCAAAACTTTTTTTTCCCTCTACATCTGAAAAAAGAACACTTTCTTTAGTAATTTATTTGTAGATAAAAAGTATAAACCCGCTTAATATGAATGTAAACCCGTTAACCGGTTTATATTTATATATAGTGGGTTTATACTTCACACAAAATTATAACGGGTAAAAACTTCGATTGGCTAAAAAAAAAAATGTACTTTTCTAATATTCCTTATTAGGGATAAAAATGCATTTTTTTTTCACCTATTTTATTGAAAAGTTGTATTGATGTCTAGATGTACTGATGAAAAGATATATTGTCATAACTTTTTTGTTGAAGTTATTTTACCCAAATTGAGCAACAAAACATTGTTTATTAAAAAAGCAAGTTGTAACGGGTTGCTTGTTTAATCTTCATACAACAGTCCTTTTATTGAAGCCCTTAAATTCTGAAATGAATAAGTTAAGTAAGTTTAAATGACAGCATGCTCACAAGAAATAATTCTTATAACAATGATGACAGCAATTAAGTCTTCGAACCGGTCCTAACCAAGATATGTTGGCAAACGGAAAAACGGGATTCTTAAAGTATCTTCTAAATTTTCTAAAACTTTAAGTAAAATCTTGTTATCTAGAAGTATTTTGACGATAGAAATTGATTCATTTTTATAATTATGATCAATCAAAGTAGCTTCTTTTCAAATATGTTGTTAAGTACCGATACCGTTCATTATTAATACCAAAAGATATCTATGCCGGTATATTTGGTTAGCGGTAAATTAATATTTATGATAAAACTTCGCGCTGGAACCAAATCAAAAAAAAAAAAAAAAAAAAAATTCCGTTTTAAATACAAATTAAGTGGAGATGAGTTGGAAATCTTAGTTGCGCCTAATATGTTTGTTATTATTTATTTTAGATAAAGATAGTTGTCTACATCTATTTAAAATAACAAGATTTTAAAGCAATAACGTGTTTGGTAGTTTTTAAGATTTTTAGAATCAACATTATTATTATTTTAAAATTTGCCTTCTTTTTGCCATAACAGTTTTGTAGCACTTTAGTCTAAAGTGTTACAAAACTATATTCTTACACTTAAAAAGGAAGAATACAGTTTTGCAGTATTTTTGTATAAATTAAAGAGAACTTTACAACAAAATAGTAACATACATAAACTTTTTGTAATTATGTTCTTTATACGTAGATATACAAATTTAATTGTAATTTAATAAAATAACAATTAACTGAAGACTTTAGTTATTTGTTATTTTATTAATTAAAAATAATTTAAATAACATTAATTTGAATAAAAATAACAATAATTTAAATAACAATAATTTAAATAACAATAATTTGTTATTATATTAAATATCTTTAGAAAAGTAAAAAAAAAAATTTAAAACACTTTCTTGCAAGTTCTTGCAAATAAACATGTATTGTCGATTACTTAGTATTATGACTGTACCAAATAATGTTGAATTTATTATGCAATAACTGAATTTAACTGATTATATCATTTCTTTAGTGCTCCCAATCTTGCATATCTTGTTAACTCTAGCCTTCTTCTTTTGTTCTTTAACCATTTTTCCAAGTGTTCATATATTATCCTTTAACTTAATATCTCCAGATCTTAATTTCTCTGGTGGATCCTATTATATACACTATCTACACTAAATACTCCCAACCTCTATTTAAACTCATAACTTGATTTTCTTTCATTTAGACTAATAAAATATTAACTGATTATCATTTTGTTCCTTTTTTTTAAATTGCTACAAATTAATTTTATACCTTCAATAAAAACATGTTTTATTACTTTCAAGGTTAAAGTCACTATAAGGTTTTAAATCAATATTGGTACCAGTGACCAAAAAAACTGTTATCTGCATTTCCTAGTTTATGTACAGATTTTAGTGTGTGATTGCGGGGAGCAGGAAGTAAAAGCTGGAGAGGCCACAACCAATATTTCGCTTGGGGGCCAGTTTGACCCTGAGATGGACTTGAGCCATGGAGTCCTTAAATCCTTTTTTCCATTGTACCTAAGTACTCCAGGTTCAAAAAGTGATAGTTCCTCTAACCTAAAAATCTTAATTTCTTTACCAATAATGGTCCAGGCATTTTTAATTATATTTTATTAGTGCTCCTGGATACCAAAAACTAGGAAGAGTAATCTTTTTGTGACATTCAAATCTGGAGTCCTTTTCGGGAACCGCATTTCTAGTTATGAGTCATTCATTTTTTTAAATAATGTTTATATAATATATAATTTTTATAGACGTCAATAATATAAACATGCCTGCCAAGTTACTAGTTCCAGAAGTCCCAAAATATAGCAAACAAGTTGGCATTCCTAATACATTACTATATAGTGGCAGTCGCTTCAAAGGAAATCAAAAAAGTAAAGGCAATTGTTACGATGTTGAAGTTGTTCTGCAGGTTAGTAGAGTTTAAAAATTTATTTGCATTTTGCATAAATTATTTTTCTCACTGTATAGAGTGGATTAGATAAAAATATTTTAAAAATTAAAATCATAAGTATAATGAAAATTATTTCTACTTTTTTAATATGTTTGATATGATAATTTCCGGTAGTTTGCTTTTAAAAAAAGGGAGTAGTCAGGAACTAAAACTCATTAGAAAATAATTTTGGCACCACTTATCTTAACCAGTATCACTTAAAAAAAAAGAAGTTAGTGGTATTTCATATTTAGATAGATCTGAATTGCATCAGTTAGGCAACTTTATTGTATGTGTGAAAGTAATATATTGATGTAAAAACGATGTAATATTGATTTGTCTACCAGCTCATTTTTGTTATAACATGATACAGTCCTCAGAATTAGGGTCGGCATTTGGCAATACCAAATCCTGATCTTGTTTTCATGTTTCATGGTAAAAATACCATGAAACATGAAAACAAGATCAGGATTTGGTATTGCCAAATGCCGTCAATATTGAGAATTAACTTTAGCTTTGGATTGAGTGAGAGTAAGAGTGATTTGGATGTTTAACAATCTGTTTAACTGTCAGGAAGAGTATGGACATTATATTCAAGAGTCAAATTAGAGTAAGGTTTCTTTGCAAAAAATCTCTGCTTTATTCTGGGAAGAAGTAAATAGATCAGACCCATAAATTAGAGATTAAATGTTAGACTTACTTTAGTTAATGACACTGTTGAAGACTAACCATAAGTCTTGAGTAATAATTTTATTCATATTTTTTCTAGCAAACTGAGAAAAAATATGAATAAAATTATTAATGTTTACAAAAGCAACTGCTCAAGATGGTGGAAAATATGGAGTAGAATGAGGCTTGACTTATAATTGAAGAGAATTAATAAAAGCTTCCAAACTTTTATTCCATAAGGATTAAAAGCTTCCAAGATGCGCTTTATGCATACATAATATTGATAAAAACATATGTTTGCTATTTATTTAGATGCATACAAAGTTGTACATTATAATCTATTACCATAGATGCTGATATACAATATCCTTTCATTGTTATATAAACTCAAGTATTTTAGGAAAAAGAAGATGATTAGATGGATGTGCTGAGTGGCTCTAGCATGACAAGAAAAGGAGGCATAATCTCAGACAGATTGAAAAAAGTGTTGTATTGAACAACGTTTGTTAGCAAAAATTTGAGTAATTTAGGTATCAGCATGTAGAGAGGTAGCATCTTCAGAAGAAAATGGTAGTGATAAAATAAGAAAACTTGAAGAGAGTGTCTTACAAGTTGTATGAATGAGCTTTAGTTAAGCAAAAAAATGCTCTAGATTGTTTATATTAGAAAAACAGCATAAAAGAGGAAGGTTAAAAAGTATGCTTTAGGATGTATAAATGTTTATGCAGCCCTGGTCACAAACCCGGCACCGGCTATATTTTATCAAACTTGGCCTCGGTCAAATATTAACCCCAGTCACTTACTAACCCTTGAAGACTTGCATTACATTACAGTTCAACTGTATATAATTTTACTATAAAAATATTTTTTAAATTAAATTTATCAAATTTATTTAGTAAGTAGTTATATATTATTTATAAACTATTTAATACTTTTAATTTGATTAAAATTAGTTTTTTTTTTTTTAAGCATGTTGATCAAGAAAGTTCTTTTTTGTGTGGATATCTTAAAATCAAAGGACTTACAGATGTATGTAAAAATTCCTATCATTAATATTAAATTTAAACTCTTATTTATTTTTATTTTTTTATTATTATCTTATATGTCATTCTCTTCTAAGCTTTTATGTTGTTTTTAATTATTAGTTTACTATCATTATTATTATTATTATTATTGCTATTATTATTATTATTATTATTATTATTATTATTATTATTATTATTATTATTATTATTATTATTATTATAATTGCTAAAGGTTTTGAAATAGCTTACTCTAAAAAATGTGATTTTTTTTTTTTACTTGGTGAAAGGGCCTCTACCAAATTTATAAAGTCGAATCAATAGTTTTTTAAAATTCTTAAGTGTTTTAAACATAAAATTGAAGTATTACCAAAAATATCAATAAATATTAAGTTTGTTTATTTCTATTTATCAAAGATTTTATACTATACCCATTATACCACTACCCATTATTTTTGTAATGGGTAGTGGTATAATGGGTATAGTATGGGTAGTGGTGTAATAGTAGATTGCTCGCTTATGAAGCGAGCGATCTACTATTATACTACTACCCATTTAAAAAAATTCAATTTAAATGTACCAGGGACATGGTGGTACCCCACTATGTTCCTGGTAGTACCAAGCTCAACTTGTTTCTCTGTGCAGTGACCTTTTTTTTTCAAAGTTTGTGTTTCGGAATTAAAGATCTGAGAGAGTGTTGTAACCACAATAAACATAACACTGTTCTCAATTTCATCTCAATATCAGCTTTAACCAATCAAAAGTTATCCAATATCACTAAAAACATTGTGAAAAAGACACTAAAAACATTGAAAAAAAAAAAAAGCAAGAAAAATGTTATTAAATATCATGATTTGAATGTGAATGTTAAATTTACGAGAGAATTGGCAATGACTAATTAGTTAAATAGCTATTAATTTACTTAGCTTATACAAGTTGAAAGCTTACCGTAAAAACACCATCATTATATAGAATGACAGTAGGTGCAACTGCAATTTAGTAAATATAATTTCTACTTTTTTTAGGCACCATATTCAGTCCTTTTTTGAAGTTTACTGCCAGCGCACAAAAAAGCGCTGGCCGGACGGTCATTATTTGTCTGGCGGGCGCGATTTTAGAAAGTTTTTGTTTTTTGTACTTTTTTAATTAGAAGTTGCCCCGTTGCAAATTAGCATTATCTATTCAGATTTCGCAGTGCTATCCAATGAGTCACTTCAAAATTTTTTACTTGGTAATTAATTTTACCAATTTTTTTTACAGGTCTTTTTTATTATGAAAACATTTATACAAGCAAAGATTTTAAACAAAAAAAATGAGGACTTATTTTTCAAATTAAAACAAAATTAAACCATGAAACAATATTAATCTAGTTTAAGAACATTTAAGTATTTTAAGAATTCTATAAGTGTTTTTATAAGCAAAGAAGAATTTAATTATTTAGATTTCATCATCTGAGTCTGCATTTTCTTCTGACTCCGAATCGCTATTGCCTACATCGATTGAGACTGATTGCGATTGATTTTTTGCTATATGTTCATTAATCTTAAACTTTCGACGAGTTGCCTCTCTCTCAATTTCTGTCCATAATTTATTGTTACAGCCAATACACATCAACATTGTCATTGTGTTGTGTTTGATTTTTGATCTTCTGTCAGATAATATTAGCCTTTATACATACTTAAAAAAAAACAAATTTTCATAAACATAAATAGTTACAAAAATACCTGAAATTAATGGTACACCGTTTTCTTTTGGGATTTCTATAAGTACTTAAAAGCAATTGAGGCTTATTGATGGCCAACTTATATGCAGTATTTATAAGCTTTTGATAAGCATCATAACTGGCTTTTTCATGGTAGAGGAAATTAAAGTTTTTATGGAACCTTTTTTACATTTTTAGTACAATCTTGTTTCAGTTTTCTTTTTTCAATTTCTGCCGCATTGTACATTATTCAAAATTATTGCTTATCAAAACAATATATATTTTTTTAAACAAAATAGTTTTAAACTACAACATGTATTTAAAGATGTTTGAAGAAGAGATAAATGTGATAATAGTAAATCAAGTAATTTATACTGTGTGTTTAGTTATAAAGCTGGTTCCATTTGTAAAATTATCAGGAGAAAATTTTGTAGCTCCTTTTATTTCGCTTGGTTTCGTAGATGTACTTGAGTGGTTGGCACATATCTTACATCAAACGAAATTAATATATCTTTAAAGTCCTACTTATTAAACACACTAAACTTAATGTTTGTATTTCCTTTTGCTGCCATTATAACTTTTCCTTTTTTAAAGCGTGTTTATATACATTATAGTTTATTGGTTTGGGAAAAAATGGCAAAAATGTCTTTTATCGTGTTGATTACTTCCATACTTCCATCAATAAATTCCATCTTAAAAGTTTTACTTTTGTAATTTTGAAAAAAATTTAATTTTAAAAAAATTTTCAAAGCAGTAATTTTTATAGTTCTACTTAGTTTTTAAGTTATGTAAAAAAAAAAAAGTTTTTAATGACTATTTTAAAGATATGTAGATTAATATAAGTGTTTTACAATTTATCATCAAAGTATTTTATGAACATAAAAGGTTCGTTGCAATTTAAAAACACGCTTGAAGTTTTTTGGTGAGTGTTTAAAAAAGCGCCAGCCAGTTTTTGCAGGCATGTGGGCGAGCGCAAAACTGCAAGAGCGCAAAAGCGCTCGTCAAATGGAGAAGACTGCATATTTGTGGAAAATATATGATCAATATAGTTAGAAACAATTTTTTTTTTTACAAAGAAACAGTTACTCAAAAACATAGGAAGTATATATATATTTTTTTAATTCACCTCCTCAAGGCCAAGAAGGCCACTACAGACGAGGAGGCTACTTATTTGTGGTTATAACCCTGTCTCAACTCTATAACTCCAAAGCACAAACCTTGATGAACAAGGCCGCTGCGCGGAGAAACAAGTTGAGCGCGATACTACTAGGGGCGTGGTGAGGATCAAATTCGGAACCACTTGTTTATGAAGCGAGCGCTCTACCACTACACCACTACCGCATATATATATATATATATATATATATATATATATATATATATATATATATATATATATATATATATATATATATATATATATATATATATATATATATATATATATATATATGGGTCATTTCGTATCAAATCAACTGAAAAAAAAAATTATGGGCACTATACCATATCGGATTTTGCTGATTTTTGGAGTAAAAGCTTAAATTAATGAAAGAAAACTTCACTCCAAATTATAGTATCAGACTTCTTACAGTTTCAGAGATTTTTATTTTTTTTTATTTTTAATTATCTTCGCTTCCAACAAGGTTGCAAGCAACCACTAATTAGTGTTGGAAGTTACTGGAAGAGAAAAGATGAAGATTGTAGAGCAAGATAATGATTGACAGACGACATAAAATATAAGAATCTTTGACAAATAACAAATTAGTTCTCTGGTTTAAAGTTTGCCTAGCTATCTTCAATGCTCAGGTGATTAATTTCACTGATTTTCTATTTTCTTCCTGTAACAGTTGTTGGAATATTAATCATTAACAATAAGTTTGTTGATGGAACCCAGCAAACATCATCTCTAGAAGGCCAATAATATGACTTTTAAGGGTAACATGGATGCATGAAACTAACTTAAAAGTCTTTATTTTCAACATCAATTTCCTCAACTAGTTCGATCCATGGATTGTTATCATATATCAAATATACAAACACACCAATGCTTATATTAGACAAGAATTCTTTAATAATCTCATCAGTTTGAAAATTAAAAACAAATGAATACTTCAATTGTTCAGAAACAACTTTAGTTCCAATTTTTGTGTTACTTATTGGAACGAAATTGTGATAGCTACGAGTGCCTGGTAACATTTTTGCAGTTGTAAATCTTTTTTCCATTTCACTTCGAATTATAGTGTTTGACTCCTTGGATATGTAATAAAAATTAATTCCTATGATTTCATTTTGGCAAAAATTAAACATAGCAGATGTAAGAATATGATTTGTTGTTGTTCGATGAAGGCTAGCAATTGAAGTTAGTCTTTTTACAGTGCCAGCAATACCATCACAGGGTGCTGATGAGATGATGAGAAATATTGCTTTTAATATGTTCAATTGTAATCTTCATCACAAGAAATACCATATCAACATCATGCAGTAAATCATCTGAGATGAAACATATTGAATCACATTTGAGGACATTATTTTCTTTATAATAAATTACTGTTGGATGCAATGTAGCTTGAATTTTTTCCTGTGAAAACTTTGTATTTCATTTTGTACAACAATCAAAATCACAAAGAACAATGACCTCAGTACTACTTAACTCATTTTTTAACTTTCTTAAAGAAGCAGCTTGACTTTTTTCAATGTAAGAATGAACAGTAAGTTTTTGTAACTTATTTTTTAAATTATTAATAAAGCTACTTGTCATTTCTGTTGGACTTAATAGCTCAGATCGGTCTGTTGTTTTCCATTGTTTGTAATCTAAACAATAATCATCATCTTCATCAATATCGTTCTGAGAGTACAACTCATTTTCAAGATAATGTACTAATGTATAATCTTCTGGGCACAAAGGGCAATGATGTATCATGCAAGTCTTGTTCGCCTTCCTACAAACAAGTATATCAATAGGCTTGTGATAATCCTATGATAATTTAACTGCAATAATCATTAACTTAACATTTTGATGGTAGGTGCACACACATACTGTATGCGTACCATATGCTCCAACTGTAATGCACCATTTTGGACGATGTGAGCAAAAGTTAGAAAAACAGCTCTTTATATCTGGATAACAGGTTTTAAACTTTGCATATAGCTCTTTTAGATTTGAAAGAATCAAACACTTTTGCATGTGAGATCTTCGAGCTATACTAACAAAAATTTTTTTTGCCAGAAATGAGCTATTTTCATCATTACGATAAAATTCAATAATTTTATCTACTGTTTCTTGAGGTATTTCCTTTTTCTTTTTT